GGAACCAGGCGGATCCGTTAATTTCCAGTGACCGGAAATCGACGGATCCTGTGATGTGCACTTTATTTTTTTTTCTTTCTAGTGCGCATAATATATTCACCGCTTTGTTTCAAGACAGGAGCACTTTAAATAAGACACTGCAGAAAATGAAAAATGAGGAGTTGTTCTTTGCAAATTCTTAACAATGTGAGTCATCGCTCACACTGTTCAACGGACGTGTTATACACGTCCTAGCTAGCGGGCCCCTCCACTCTCTCGAATGAACAGAGAGAAGAACCACTAGAAAATGAAAGAAAAAATTCAAGACTATTTTTAACCTTAAAATTGGTCACATTCTGCAAATCCAGCGAAATCCGATTCANCAGGTATGGTTGCTGCCGGTTTTTTCCGAATTCTACCAACTTCCGGCATGTTCCGATGTTGGATCCGGCAGGATCCTGACACCGGAATGGACGATCTGGGTTAGAGTGAATATACAGGTGCTAGACAAAAAGAAGTGTGTGCGTACACAGCTTTGTACACAGTGCGAACTCTCGATCAAGCGATTTCAGCTTAAAATCGGCTTTTTTTAGGGACGCTTTAGAAGACCCCCTTCAAAGTTATGAGCGCTAGGACGCGATATAAGACCCGAGTCCTCTATTGTGTCCATCCCTTTACACATAATGTAAGAAAATGAACCATTTAATTATTACTTTTTTTGGCTCAAATGGTGAACGTTGACGATCATTCGTCTCATTTAGTGAATATGTTTCAATGTTGCTATTACTCAATGTCAGTCGTTGTTGTGTGAGACTAAAATGTGAGAAAGAAGTGAATTTTTTTTTAATACATTCATTTTTTTTGTAACATACCGATCTAGTTCATTTGCTATGTGATTTTCAAGTTTTTGAACTAAATTATCAATTGTATCATTTTGTTTTGATGTTAATTGATGATTTTGTAAATTTCGGGGTTTTTGTTCATCAGTATTCGACAAACGATAATAATAGGGATCACTATTTTCCTGTATGAAATGAAAAACAAATCATATTTTAAAATCAAAATTTTTTGATATTATCTATACCTTCATCTTTGAACTATAACCACCATTTTCCTGTCGTTTTGATAATTTCTCTTTGTCTGTTGAATGATAATTTCGATTATTATTGCCGTAACGAGATGTCTAGAAAAGTATATCTAGATAAAATATAGTATATAAAATAATGCAGACAAAATTATACTTTATCTGAATGATTATTAACTTTTCTTAAAAATTTTGATTTTGTTTCTATTTGAACTTTTTGTTCCAAAATATAATTCTTAACATCATCGACAATGTCTTGTAAAACTTTCTAAATAATAATAAATATAATCTATTGACTATATTTTGCATGAGACATTATAACACTTACTAATGCACATCTAGAGGGAACTCTTGTAATAACTGACTCCTCATCATAAGTATATGAAGAGACACTACTGTAAAATACAAAGTAAACAATGAATTTTTTCATAGTATTACAATAATCTACTCTCTTACGGTATTGTTGAACGAAGATGTGATGAACTATCCATGGTTTTGAGTAATTTTTTAATAATATCATGTAATAATCGTACACATATTTTTTCATATGTTTCCATATTGACAAATATTTCATGTTGTTTTATTGATGTATCTGTATTTGATAATGAAACATGTTGAAGATTTGTTTCCAATTCTTTTACACGCAATTGTAATTGACTAATATCTTCATCTTTTTGCTGAAAATAGAATAAGTGAGAGCATTTTTACAAAAAAAATTATTTAAATTAAAAATACTATTTGTAATTGTGAACGTAGACGATTTATTTCTTCTTGATATTCTTTTCGACATAATTCTTTTGTATTAAATACGGCATTGATTCGTTCACGTGCACTCTCTTTTAACATAATTTGTGTTTCACTTAATTTCTATATAAATAAAAAATTTCATTGATCATGACATCTAAGATTGACTAATCTATTATTTACATACTGTTTGTAAATCATACAATTTTTGTTCCAATTTATCATTTCTTTCTTGTTCTAATTTTAATTTTTGTTGTAAATCCTTCAGTGCGTAAGCTTTCTCATCTTCAAATCGACATCTTTCATTCGTCACTAAGTTATCTCGATGTTCATCCCACACTTGTCTTTCACGTTGTATCCGATCTTCCATCTATGTAAAGTGTGAATATGATCTCAACCTTGATATCACAAGAAGGAATGTACTAGTCGTCCTCCTTTTTTGAAGGAAGATCGCCCATTTTTTCTGATGATTTGTTCATTATTATTTTCCGTCTTTAGAACACTCCCTTCTGAATATTGTGTATTGAAGTTTTTACTATTTTTGATTCATTTGGTCGTTTTTATTACTTTTCTGTCGTTCACAAACGGTACAATACAAACAGACTCAATAAATTTATCTAGACGGAAAAAAAATTTTGATATATCGTTTATTTCAATTATTTTAAATTTATATTGCTTTGATGAAAAATAACTTTGTTTCAATCCGGATTGTAGAACAAACATTTCTCTATAAAATGCATTAGCTACAAAAGAATTCAACCGGAAAACCATTAAATTTATTCGCATACAAAACAATAGTGCTTTTTAAAAAATCGATATTTTGCTCATTTCACGTTTTTACGTGTAAAACATTGAAAGTAGCCTTTACAAAAATACTTCTCATTACTTATCCTTACATTTTTAAAAATATTTATATAGAGATAAAATATTTATTGTAGAGAAATATGTGCTCTATAATCGTGAATAATTTAAATTTTTCTATCATCACAATGAAAGGTCAATTCTAACATCGTAAAAATACATATTTTTCCGTTCAGATAAATTTTTTGAGTCTGTTCATATTGTACCATGTGTGAACGACAGAAAAGTAATAAAAAATTTTCAAACCCGTATTCTGAAAGAGAATGAAATTCTGAGTCTGGCATACTGCTTTTGAGCTTTAGTCCTAGTACCAATTTTTTTTGGTACAAAAATTAAGACTTGTGTCAAGACTTTTTATACAAAGGTTAGTTTGTGTTTGTTTTCTCTTTTCGATATCCAAGCGTCAAAAAAAAATCTGGTATCGCCCGATTTATCTAGATTACTAGATTTTTACTCGATTGCAGCTACTGTGTAACGACCGTGGAAATCTAGTGACTGGGCGATTACTAGATTTTTTCTAGTTGCACCTATCGATTTATCGCCCGATAATCGATCGATTCAACTATTGCTAGATGCGTCTGCAGACGCATCTAGTTAAAAGTCCCTTTTCCAACTAGTAATCTAGATGACAACTAGTCGTGTATCGTCCGATTACAGAAGAAATGTATCTAGATTTTTCTCATAGATGATATTTGCTTGGGTACAAACATTTTAGATCCTTTTCGAACAGTAAATTTGAATCATTAGTGGTGGAGTGTGTTTGAATCAGGGGAGATGTGAAAAGAATTTTGAATCCTTGCTAGTATGAATTTTCCTACTATCCTCAAAATATTTTTACTTATCCCATGTGTTCAAAACATTGATGTTCACTTTTCTTCATAGCTAGTTTCAGCGTGTGACGAAACTTTTACAGAATGTAGAAGAATGTTTGTTCTTTCAAATGATGTACTTTTGAGGAAAAAATCGAAGATAAAAAGCAGTATAATCGAAATTGTCTTTCACACTTTTTCTCGGACCTTTTAATCGTATCTTATTTTGATAGAACTATTGTGATAATCGATATAATGTTGTTGTTTTTTTACATAAATTGATAAAAAATAAATTTAAAATATGCGAATTGGCTGTATTTTATTTATGTATTGCAAAAACAATCTTAATTTAGCATATGGCTGCTTTGATCTAAGAAACACTATTTTTTCTCAAAAGTATATCATTCAAAAGGACAAATATTCTTCTACATTGTGTAAAAGTTTCGCCACAAACTAGTGCTTACTATGAAGAAAAGTGATCTACAATATTTTGACATGTCGATTTACTGGTAAAAGTTAAAAAAACTCTTTTTTCGAGTTTATGAACGTTTTTAAGATTATCTGTGGATGCCATTCTGTTCACATTCATCGTCCGCATATTTTTCAATGGACGGGATACACTTTATACGCTACCTTTTTTTACCACATACGTAATCGGATCATCTTTTCTTGTAGAAAGTATTTTGAAGAAAAAATAGTTAAATTGAGAGTATAACCAAACTTATTGAAAAATGTACGTTGTTCAAATGTTCTGATTTCAAAATCAGAGAGACTCACGCCTACTAACTCTGCCGTCTATAATTTGAATTCATTTTTGAAAAAAAACTTTTGTCTCATTTCAGAAACTTGGGAGTTAGCATTGCTAGTATTTTCTCGTTTACCTGTGAAACAGCATTTTTATGAGCATTTGTAAGAGCAATGATTTCATTATCTTTTTGAAATACCAAAGCTTTCAACTTCGCCAATTCTCGATCTTTGGCCTAAAATTAACGGTAAAAAAGACTAAAATTCTAGTAAGAACAATCTCTGAACTTCTAGGTACTCAAATCAAAATAAATGAGTTGCCTCTCATGCATGACGAATAATTTGAGTGATCAGTCACATACCACATTATGCCAGTGTGTATGTGATACAGTACCATATCGTGGATATTGAATCTTGAATAGAGAGACATATTTATTATTTTCTCTTATTTCAAATGTGTGATACGACTTACATTTTCATCATCATTAAAAGAACGATTTTCATTTATAGGTTTTGAGGGCAAAGAATGTTTTTGATTATGTTGCGATTGTGAAAATTGATTTCTATATATATGTGAAAATGTTTTTACTGTAAGGAAAGCATGATAAAACAATATAGTACTCACCTTAAAGCATGAATTGTTTCATCTTTTCGTTTGACTTGTGTTTCCAAATTATTACATTTTTGTTCGGATGAACGATATGCATTTAAAAAATCGTTCTTTTCCGATGGTAGATAATCATGTAGGTGTCGTTGTGTAATATCGATCATCATTAATAGTCTGCAACTGAAGGGTTAATTATACGTCTCATATACAAGTCATTTTCAAGAAGAAATTTTTTTTTTATAAGTTTAGAAGTCATACATAATCAAACAACTTCTCTACATATGTGCTTGAAAAATATAAATATTGAAAGTATGTCGCAATAGCAATTGAAATATTTCAAAAAAAAAAAAAATTCTGCGGTTTTTCTTTTACAATTTTATTCTCTCTTGTTGGAGAAGCCATTTTCTTTCTTTCTTAAATAAAAAAAAAATTCATTATTATAAATTATTGTTGGTGAAT